AGTGTTCTGCATACAAAATAGAGGAAGATGGGCACAGATGTTAGCTCAGGGCCACTGTTCCTCAGCAAAAAGAGAAAGATTGGCAACAGGTGTTAGCTCAGGGCCAATCTTCCTCACCAAAGGAAAAAAAAAAAGATTCTGTTCTTCATATTTACCCTGTCTGCCTTCTCCTGCCTGGTTAAGTACTGACAGATGGTCTCCCTCTGCCATAAAACTTCTAGAGGCCTGAGTATGCCTCTTCTTCCTGCTGGTGACCCAGGCATTCCCACATCTCTATCCAGGCCCCTGTCCTTCGAATGGTGGAAGGCGACACCATTTATGATTATTGCTGGTATTCTCTGATGTCTTCAACCCAGCCAGACACCTCCTAGTAAGTGATGTCCTTTGCTTCCCCTACTTCCCTCTGGTTTCAAGGGGACCCTCTACTGAGAGAGAGTCAAGGGCTGCCAGGGGTCTCAGGAAGAGGAAAGCTTGTTGTGCCCTTCAGGTGAGCTGCGAGGGCCGGTCAGTTGGCTTCCTCCCCTTCCTTTGACAGCACTGGGCCCTCAGTGTCCGTGTTTCTCTCAGCGTCGCCAGCAGTAGCCGGGAGAACCCGATTCACATCTGGGATGCATTCACTGGAGAGCTCCGGGCTTCCTTTCGTGCCTACAACCACCTGGTAGGGACCTCCCTGCCCGGCCCCAGGGCTTATCCTGGCCAAGCTCTCTTTCCTTGAGGATGGCCGAGGCTTTGCTAGGCCTGTTTTCAGCCCTTTCCTGCCCCCAGGACGAGCTGACAGCAGCCCACTCGCTCTGCTTCTCCCCGGATGGCTCCCAGCTCTTTAGTGGCTTCAACCGGACTGTACGTGTGTTTTCTACAGCCCGGCCTGGCCGTGACTGCGAGGTCCGAGCCACGTTTGGTAAGCATCTGTGCCTCCAAGGGAGGCGGAAGGAGAAGGGCGCTGCTACATGCAGAGGGGCCTTGTGTGAGCCGGGGGGCCACATGTTGGGGGTCATGGCATCCTCATTACAGCCCTGGGAGGCAGGTTGTGCCCAGTGGGCAGAGGAGAAAACAGACTTGGGGAGGGTCGAAGCTTTCCCAATGTCAACCCCCTGGGTAAAGAACTGGTTCACTCCTGAGCCTATGCCCTGTTAGCTGTGTACCCTTTGCTCTCTATAATCTTGCTGTCTCGGGGCTGGCCCCGTGGCCTAGTGGTTAAGTTCGCATGCTTCACTTTGGCGGCCCAGCGTTTCACCAGTTCAGATCCTGGGCACGGACATGGCACTGCTCATTGAGCCATGCTGAGGTGGTGTTCCACGTGCCACAACTAGAAGGACCCACAGCTAAAAATATACAACTGTGTGCTGGGGGGCTTTGGGGAGAAAAAGGAAAAAATTTTTTTTAAATCTTTAAAATGTTGGTGTCTTTAGGAAATTGGAGGTAAAGCTGATTCCATTTTCCTGTAAGCCTTCAGCTTTCCATCCCTTTAAGGAAAAACAGATTTGAGAGGGAAGAACTAGGTCTTGGGCATTTTGGTCCCTTGTGGGGATAGAAGGATCTGGGGAGCATCAGAGGTCTTCATCCTGCTTGTGACAGATGGGGCGGGGGAGACACTGGGTCCCAGCACATGGGCTCTGGGGCAGAAGACAGAGGTGCACCGCTGATTAGCCTGCTTAATGTCAGGTGCTGTTGTCCTCTCCCTTACCTTGTTCCTTCCCCTTCTAGCCAAAAAGCAGGGCCAGAGTGGCATCATCTCTTGCATAGCCTTCAGCCCAGCCCAGCCCCTCTATGCCTGTGGCTCCTACGGCCGTTCCCTGGGTCTGTATGCCTGGGATGATGGCTCCCTTCTTGCCTTGCTGGGAGGGCACCAAGGGGGCATCACCCACCTCTGCTTTCACCCTGATGGCAACCGCTTCTTCTCAGGAGCCCGCAAGGTAGGGGTCATGTCCCAAGATCCCAAAGAGGGTGGGCAGTAGGTAGGAGTGGGGATGTAGTCTGTGATGTGTTGGGGGATGGATGTGGGACTAAATCAACCTAAGCTAAAGAAGTGCCTGCAAACCTTGAGGGAGGCAGGGGTGTCTTGGGGAAGGCGGGGAGGGATGAACTCCAGGCCCCTGTTCTGTGTCTTCAGGATGCTGAGCTTCTGTGCTGGGATCTCCGGCAGCCTGCTCATCCACTGTGGTCCCTCAGCCGAGAGGTGACCACCAATCAGCGCATCTACTTTGATCTGGACCCGTGAGTGACTGTGGGTCCTTCCCGCCCAGGGCCCCGATGTCCCTAGGGATGCCAGAGGCCAGCTGTAGGGTCCCAGCCCCTGGGTGTGAGGGGTTCCTGCCCCAGGGGTGAGGATTCCATGCCAGCAAACGTCTCTTCTCTCCCCCAGGACTGGGCAGTTCCTAGTGACTGGCAGCACTAGTGGGGCTGTCTCTGTGTGGGACACCAGCAGGGCTGGGCATGAGGGGAAGCCGGAGCCAGTGCTGAGTTTTCTGCCCCAGAAGGACTGCACCAATGGAGTGAGGTCATCAATTAATTCCGCATATCTTGGGGCTTGGGTTGGGGAGGGAGGTGAATTGCTGAGGGAGCAAGCATCCTCTCTCAGGGTGCTGACTGACCCTGCCTGTCTCTCCCTCCAGCCTGCACCCTAGCCTGCCCCTGCTGGCTACTGCCTCCGGTCAGCGTGTGTTTCCAGAACCCACGGAGAGTGGGGATGAAGGGGAGCAGGAGGTGGAGCTTCCCCTGCTCTCCATGCGCCATGTCCACCTTGAATGTCAGCTTCAGCTCTGGTGGTGTGGGGGCGGCGCAGACACCAGTATTCCTGATGCTCCCCAGGGCGAGAAGGGACAGGAAGTGACTGAGGGAGGTGGGGGCGAGTTTATATAAAAAGATTTCATACGTATGATACTAGAGTCTGTGTGTCTGTTTGGGGAGGCAAATGATGGAGATGGGGGCCCAGAGGGGTACTAGTGGGCTCCCTTGTCCAGCAGCAGTAGGGACTGTCATATTGCTCCTGAAACAACAGTTGAGAGGTGGGACTAGGCAGGAGCCAATGGGACTGCTGAGCTTGGTGTGAAGTCAAGGGAGTGAGGGTGGGGCTTCATGCCATTGCCTGGTTGGTTGCTAGGCAACCTGGTAAACTGAAGAGGGGGAACCTGTTTGAAATCTCACTCCCTAGGTAGGGGCGGCAGGGGTCAGGGTGAGTGTGGCTGAGCGGGAGTGGTAGGAGCTGTGTGTCAGACTCTTGGGTGTGACTGGGAGACTGTGCAGACAGTGACAGACAAGACACCCGCTCATTCGTGCTCAACACTATTTACCATCCTCGAGCAGCAGAGGCACCATTACTCAGCTCTGGGGGAAGGGGAGCGGGAGCACCCGCCTCCCCACCCCTGGACTTCCCCAGGAGGCAGGCGACTGAGTAGCCAGAGTCAAGGACACACTCGAAAGAGTAAAGGTGCCGGAAAACAGACGTCACATTCTGTATTCCCTTTAGATGCAGGACAAGGGCGAGAGTCTCTCATTCAGCAGCTGTCACTGGTCTCCTTGTTTTTCCATTTATCTGCTCTGTCTTTTGGAGGGGGGTGGGTATGTTATTTCAAACAGTGGCTCCTCCCCCTCCACACACACCTTGCCAAACACTGAGAAGGGGGCTCTGAAGAATACTGTCAGCAGGGGATTTGATTTTGGACCTCACAATGAAAGGGAAGGGACGGGAGGCCTGTGCTGGCTTGAGAGGGGAGAGGAATGTCACCTCTGCCCAGAGGTGCTGAAAGCAAGGATTCTTACACCCAAAAAGGCAAATCCTCCTCCCTTCCCCCAGGATAATTGGAAACAGTCCTTCCAGCTGAACGCGGGTTTGGGGTTGTAGGTGCTCCCTTTCCTCTCCCAGCCAGGAATCTCCCCGCAGCCGTCCAAGAAGGGCCCAAGTCTGCCCCCTAGTCTCTTACCTTTCACCCCGCCCCTAGACAACAGTAAAGGATCCAGGAGGCTGTGACAAAAGAGACCCCAGGGGTGGGACTTCAGCAACTTGGGTTTGGTTTCCGGCTTTATCCCAGACTCCCTGTGTGACCTTGGGCAAGTCCCAGGGCCTCCCTGAGCCTCAGTTTCTTCATCACGACAATGGGGATCCTTCAGCTCTGCCCCTCCCACTTCACACAGGTGGTCGTGCCGATCATCCCAGTCCACTTTGTAAAGTGCAATGCCTTCAAGGTTATTTTCTCCAGATCTCCCAGGAGCAGAGGTGTTGCTTTGGGATAGAGGAGGAGGCGGCTGCGGAGCAAAAGGGGCTGGGCACCTCGGGGTGGAGAGAGCGAGAGCCTTTTTGGATTTGAGAGGAAGGTTCCAATCGCTCCAGCGATCCGAGGGCAGGAGGGGAGACGGGTAGAAACTAAGCCAGAGAGTGAGAGTTGGAGAGACAAAGGGGGCGTGAGAGACCGCGGCAGGGAGTAAGGCGGGGCGGCAGGGCGAGGCGGCCCGGCGGGCGGGAGGTGCACGAGGTGAGGGAGGTGTGGGGGGCGTGGGCTGCGGGATGCTGCCGCCGGCTCCGACTCGAGCTCCAGCTCCGGTTTTTCGCTCCGCCATCCTCTCCCCCTCCCCGCCTCTCCTTTAACTCCCCCCTCCTGGGCTCGGGACTGGTTTCCTCCCTTAGCCCGCTGCCCTCAATCCTGGCGAGGCTGGGGCTCCGGCTCGGCGCCCCCTTCCTCGCTCCCTCGTCCAGCGCCCCATGCCGCCCCCGCCCGGCCCCCGGCTCCCCCAGTCCCCTACTTAGGCCCGCTCACAAATCCCGGGGTGCTGGAACGTGGGCCGGGGGCGTAAGACGCCTGTAGACGGCCCCTGGAAGGGCTCTTGCGGGCTGAGCGCTCCGCACCGGAGGCGCGAGCAGAGCAGGAAGCGGGTCCGCGTGGGAGCGGGGGGCATCAGCCACCCGGGTGGTCGGGGCAGAATAGCCAGGGCAACCCAGGCAGTGACCCCAGGGGTGAGCGACTTTGGGGGAGTTGGTGCCCCGCCCCCCAGGCCTTGGCGGGGTCATGGGGGCCCCCCATTCTGGGCCGGGGGGCGTGCGAGTCGGGGCCTTGCTGCTGCTTGGTTTTTTTGGGCTGGTGTCTGGGCTCAGCCTGGAGCCTGTCTACTGGAATTCGGCGAATAAGAGGTGAGCGCCCGGGGCTGGGGAGACCCCACACCCTCTGGGAGCAGGGGCTATGGAAGCTTTGGGGACTTTGGGGGCTGGGTTCTCTGAGCTGGGAGGAGGCTGGAGGGAGGGTGCTGGTGCTCTGATGTGAGCTGATGGGTAACTAGACAGAGGTGATCTTGGGAGCCAGCCTCCTGGGTCGCACAGAGAGCTGGATGTGGGTGGTGATATCTATGTGTCAGGAGTTTGAAAGACCCCAAAGGAGCAAGGATCCGAAAGTTCATGGGCAGCTGGGAGGGCAGTGGAGTGGTTATTTGGGTTTGTGGGAGATTTGGGTGGTGTCGGGGGCTGGGCTTGGAGGGAGCCTGGTTAATGTCAGCTCTCAGGAGAGCAACTGAGTAGGTGCTGCTGAGGCGCTGAGGGGAAGGGCAGGGTGCCTCCCTCTCCAGAAGCGACTCAGTGTTGGAGATGGGAGAGAAAGGGGCTCATTTTGGGGCCTCTTGGGACAACTCCCCCAAGGCTTCTTGACTCTCATCACAGAGTCTGTCTCCCAACTCTTGCCCACAGCCAGAGAGTCAGTGAGCCCTTGGTGGAACAGTTTCCCAACCTGAAGATATTCCTGCCTTCCTGGCTTGGGGACTTCTTTCTGGAGGAAGCCTGGAGTCCCCTAAAGCCTCCTGTTTCCCTCTTGCATCTGGAGTCCTGAAGACTCCATTGCCCCCTCCCCCATCTTTGCTGCAAACTCTTCCATCAGACCTTCTGGTCCGTAGCATGCTTGCTTTGCTTTGAAAAAAAGGCCAAGGGTCAGATGAAACTTCAAGCCACACAGGATAGGACAGAACCTTTGGGAGGTCATCTGGGTCCCTTGCCTCCATGCCTATCCCACTCCCCGTTAGCAAAAGAGTTCCGTGTTTTGAAAACTTCCTACTTCCCTGGGGAGGCTGTATGAGGCCATGGGAAAGGGAAGGGCTTTGGAGCTCATCAAATCCTAGGTCTTAATCCTAGCTCTGCTGCTTTCAGCTGTGTGGCCTTGGGCATGTCACTTAACCTTTCTGAGTTTGTAGCCTCAATCCTTACGGCTTTTATGAGGATTAGAGGTAAGGTGTTTGAACAGGTTATATGCTCATTAAAGGAGAACTAGGATTATTGTTCTTCCTCTCTTTACTTCACAGCCTCCCTCACATTTCCCTGTCTTGGCCTCATTCCCATGTCTCTTTGGGTATAATCTCAAATGTCTTTTCTCTGCTCAGTCTCCTACCCTCCAACTCCCAGCTGCAGTTTGAGTGTCAGGTGCAGCTTGAGGACATAGGTTAGGCTTATTCTGGTGGAATTGAGAAAAGGGAGTTAGGGTGTTCTGGGGGCTCTTTGGGATGTTGGGTGGGAATGAGTGCGTCATTCGGGAGTCTGGGAAGACAACAAGCAGCAGTCCCCTGGGACCCAGTTCTGAGACTCTGTCTGCCATTAATGCATAGGGAGGGGCTGCTGTCATTGGCAAATAGTGGCTGTGCTGGGCCAGTGGATGCCTGGGCCAGGGAAGATGTGGGCTTGTGTTGGCTGTGGTTAGAAAAGTCAGCTCCTTCAAATCCAAAGCACTTTCCCTCGGAAGTCTGAGACCTAGGGCAGGAGGGGGACCGAGCAGGGAAATGTCTGGGGCAGTTGGCCCCTAGACCCTGGTTCCCATTAGCCCCCTTTAGGGCCATTGCCAGACCAGATACTTGCCTCCTGTCACATTGCCTAACTTGGGACACTGGTCTGGATCACCCTCCACAACCCCTCCCCGACCCTGATTCCTTTGCCCTGAAATCCTTGAAATTCAGTGGTGGCCTGGGGGAGGGGAGGCTCTGCCCCCATGGTTGACTGCCATGGAGTAGTGAAATCACCTGGGAAGGGTGGGCTGTGTGGTTCCAGAGAGGCCAGCTCCTTGGTAACTGGCATCCTGTTGCCATGGCAACAGGGCTGGTGATGGAGCGAATGATGGCAGTGTGCATGTGGTGAGGGCGGGCTGAAGAGTGCATTTGGGCACACCAAGGGGCAGGAGACCTCTGAGCCTGGCTTCCTGCTGCTTCCAACACAAGCTTGCAGAGTCCTTAGTGCCTACTCTGTCCGAACAGGCTTTCCACTCAGACAGAGGCTATCCTGCAGGGATGTGGGGTGAGGGAGGCAAAGCTCTGAGGGCCAGACCTCTGACACTTCTCTTCCTTGTCCACCTCGCCCTCCTCCCCATAGGTTCCAGGCAGAGGGTGGTTATGTGCTCTACCCTCAGATCGGGGACCGGCTAGACCTGCTCTGCCCCCGGGCCCGGCCTCCTGGCCCCCACTCCTCTCCAAATTATGAGTTCTACAAGCTGTATCTGGTAGGGGGTGCCCAGGGCCGGCGCTGTGAGGCACCCCCTGCCCCAAATCTGCTTCTTACTTGTGACCGACCAGACTTGGACCTCCGCTTCACCATCAAGTTCCAGGAGTACAGCCCTAACCTCTGGGGCCACGAGTTCCGCTCGCACCATGATTACTATATAATTGGTACTGCTGGGCAGAGGGCAGGCTCGAGTGGGGAGGTGCTCCTTGGTTGGAAGGCAGATGAGGGAGGGACCACTGGAGCCAAGAGAGACCCCTTATACCCTCAGGCAGTATTGGGGCCAGGGTATGGAGACACAATAGGGGCTAGGCTCTGAAATGCCAACTTCTCCCTCCGGCTCTTCCCTCCCAGCCACATCGGACGGGACCCGGGAAGGCCTGGAGAGCTTGCAGGGAGGTGTGTGCCTCACCAGAGGCATGAAGGTGCTGCTCCGAGTGGGACAAAGTGAGTGGGGCTGAGGCACACCTACTAGATGTTGAGGGAGGTTGGGGCAGTCCCGTCATGGTCAGGGGGCTGCTGTCTTAGCCCCTCTCTCAGGTCTCCCCCGTCTCCAGGTCCCCGAGGAGGGGCTGCCCCCCGAAAACCTGTGTCTGAAATGCCCATGGAGAGAGACCGAGGGGCAGCCCACAGCTTGGAGCCTGGGAAGGAGAATATGCCAGGTAGGAACGAGGGGTCCAGCCTCCTGCCTTCCCCAGCCTCCTCTGCCCTCGGACCCCAGCTGCCTTACCTTCACCCTTTCCCTTCCTCTTCAGTTTTGGGGCTGTGATACAGGAAAGAGGAGCAGAGAGGATGGGAGGGTGGGAGGGGAATGGAAGCCAAATGAGGAGAAGACTCAATTAGAACTAATTAGTCAAGTCAGCGCTTCAATCAGTGCTGTCAGAGAAGTGGGGAGGACTGCCTGGCACGGAGCTGAAGGGCTGGACACACCTGGATTCTGAGTGGGGCTTGGTCGGGGAGAGGTGGGGTCCCAAAGGGCCTGGGCACTGCTGGGGAAGCCCATGGGACATATCCCCAAGGCTGGGTATCCAGATGCCCAGGTGGCTCCTTCAGCCCCTCCCCCTCTTTCCTCCTTCACCCCTTCCCTGCCAGGTGACCCCACCAGCAATGCAACCTCCCGGGGTGCTGAAGGCCCCCTGCCCCCTCCCAGCATGCCTGCAGTGGCCGGGGCAGCAGGGGGGCTGGCGCTGCTCTTGCTGGGCGTGGCAGGGGCTGGGGGTGCCATGTGTTGGCGGAGACGGCGGGCCAAGCCTTCGGAGAGTCGCCACCCTGGTCCTGGCTCCTTCGGGAGGGGAGGATCTCTGGGTCTGGGGGGCGGAGGTGGGATGGGACCTAGGGAGGCTGAACCTGGGGAGCTAGGGATAGCCCTGCGGGGCGGTGGGGCTGCAGACCCCCCTTTCTGTCCCCACTATGAGAAGGTGAGTGGTGACTATGGGCATCCTGTGTACATCGTGCAGGATGGGCCCCCCCAGAGCCCTCCAAACATCTACTACAAGGTATGAGGGCTCCTCTCACCTGGCTGACCTGGATCCAGCCCTTCTTGGGGTGCTCCAGTTTAATCATGGTTGGAGGGACACCTCTAGCATCTCCTTGGCCCCCTCTGCTCCACCAGCCCCTTTGCTCCTCCTGGCTGTTGCCCTCTTCTCCACTTTTAGGATTCCTTAAGACTTCCACTGAACCACCTCCTGCCCTCTGGTTGGCCACATGTGCCCCGCTCTGTCTCTGTGTTCCTGGGTCCTATTCCCTTGGGGAGGGGGCAGAGACTCAGCCCCCTTTTCTGACCATGACCCAGGGATCCTTGACCCCCTCCCCCACCGAGAGCCAGGGGCGGGAACAGTCTGTCTTTTGGTTGGCACCTCTTTCTTTCTGCCTCTCACTGTTTTTCTCTTCTCTTCTCTCTCTCTCTCTCTCTCTCTCTCTCTCTTATTCTTTCTCCCACTTCTGTCTCTAGGTCTGTTCCTCTTCCCTAGCATCCTCTTCCCTACATCTCCTTTTACCTCTTGGCTTCTTATCCTGTGCCTCTCCCATCTCCCGGGTGGGGGCATCAAAGCATTTCTCCCCTCAGCTCCCTCTTCTGACCTCTCTTATCAACCACTCCCCTCAGTCTGCCAAAAATGGGGGCCTTATGGGGAAGGTTCTGGCACTCCACCCCAGCTCAGGGCATGGGCAGCAGGGCCTCCTTCTCTGCCATGCCCCAGGCCTTTACATACTTACTCCAGCCATTTGGGGTGGTTGGGTCATGACAGCTACCATGAGAAGAAGTGTCCCATTTTGTCCAGTGGCCAATAGCAAGATATGAACCAGTCGGGACACATATGGACTTGGTCTGATGCTGAATGGGCCACTTGGGACAGGAAGTGACTTTCTCCAGACAAGATGTGACCAGGCCTGGACAGAAGTGGCCTGGGAAGTGGCAGAAGCAGTGCAGCAGCAACTGGAAGTGCCTTCATCCAGAACAGGAAGTAGCACTTCTGAAATAGGAAGTGATCTGGCTGGAACTCGAAGTGGCTTAGTCTGGGGGGTGGGGGGAGGTGAATGGTTCTTACTCTGTGGAGAAGGGAGGGCAGGAAGAACTTCCTGTTTCAGGAGGAAGCTGGAACTTACTGACTGTGAAAAGATAGGGCGGACTGAGGAGGATTTTCCTAGTATTCAGTGGCACTTCCCAAGATCTCCCTTCCCTTGTTCTCTGTGCTGCTTTTAGGACAGTTAAGATGACTGCCATCTGTTGTGGCAGGCCCAATTTGTCTTGTTCTTCTTCCCTTTCCGTATCCCAATATAAGCTTTGTTACTCAACAGGACTACCCCAAGAACCCACGTGTTGTCCCCCAGTAACCCAGATGGCTGTCTTGCTCATCATATCCTCCCTTTCCTACTCCATTCAAACTCAACTCAGCTTCCTTCTTAGTGACCAAAATGGTGGCCTACTGTCTGGTCTAGCTGACAGTGGTACTTAGCAACTGCCAGTTTCCATAGTGACCAGCTAATACCTCTTCCTGCCCTCTAGTGCATAATTGGATGTTGCCTCAGTTTCCTCCCAGCTCAGTTTCATTAGATCCGAGCTGCCCTTGGGCACCAAGTCGGCCACCTCAATCACCAGCCAAGATGGTTGCTTTGTCCACCAGAGGTCAAGTCATCTCTCTGGTGCTGTAGTTCCCAGCTCCTTCCTGATTTTTCTAATCGCTCTTTCCAGGGAACAGGAAGTTGATGTTGCCATGGGGGAGGTGGCGGGGTATGGCCGTCACCTCAATAGTTTTACTGTAAAAGGGAAATTTGAACAACAAAAACCAAAAAAAAGAATAAAAAACTTCAAAAGTTGATGAGAAGGCTGGAGAATGGTGGACATGAATTGGGACAGAGAACTGGTTGTTAGAACGGCTTTTGAGCTGAGGGTTGGATTGCATGAAACCAAGGGGTAGGGAGAGGATTGGGTTGGCGGGGTGAGGTGAGCAGTGCATGGAGTGGGGATAATGGGCTCGGTGAGGAGGCTGAGGAAGGCAGCCACCTCTGGGGAGGGAGAGAGGACCCCAGGTGGGAGTGGGAGTTGCCAGTACATCCAAATGGGGATGTATGTGAATGTACGTTCACACGTGAGGGAAGCCTGGGTGTCTGTTGCTAAACCAAAGCACTGGAGACAAGGCAAGTTGTAGTCAGGAAAAAGTGGAAAAAACATGTTCATGTGTTCAATCTATTCCCTACCACCCCTGCCCAAGGCACCTCTGACTTGAGGAGGTTTGCTCTTGGGGACTCATGTTGGGAGAAGGGGTGTGGCTGCCCGCAAGACTCAGGAACACTGGCATCAAGCTGCCTGTACCCACAACCCAGGCTCTTCTCCCCTAAAAGTCCAGGTGCCCAGCCCCCTAGACTCAGCCCCATTCTCCATCCACAAAAGCAGCCGTCAGGAGCATCGCTGGAGCCAGTCAGCAGGGGTCGCAACCTCTGCCCTGCCTGCCCCTCCCCTGACTTTAGGTCCCCTCCTGCTGTCTCCCATCTGCCTGGAGGTCAAGGGGTCCTCCTGCCCCTCCTCTGTCTGGTGGGACCCCTGCCCTTCCCCCTGTCTGAGCAAGATGCCTGGGTCCCAAGAGGTGCAGGCACTGTCGGAGGGGAGTTGATAACTGGGAGGCCAGGTGCTGGGCTGTCTAGAATGTACTCCTGCCTTCGGAGCCTGAGCCCTCACTGGAGCTGCCTGAGGTGGGGAGGCTTGGGGGTGGAAGGGTTGGTCCCTGCCCCTTAGTGGGGGTTGGTTGTCATGGCAACATCCCCTTCTCCACACAATGGGAAGCCCCCCTCAGCCTCCCGCGTGGATGGAGCCGACAGCCCCATCGCTGGCTATCAGCCTCAGGGACTTGGCAACCGTCACTATGGCAACCCAGAGCCCAGCAACAGGGCCCAGTGAGAAAGGGAGGGGTCCAAGACTGGGGCAAGGCTGTGTATGTGAGGGGGCAACGGAGCTGAGGGAGACTCCCCCACACATACATCTAGAGGCACAGGTGGAGAGACAAGAGAGAAAATAAGTGGGGATAAATAGTCTCCATGACAGACAAACCCCTCACCAAAGCAGCCGAGACATCATAACATGCCGAGAGACAGGAAGACACCTGGGGACAGATGCACAGCTGGGGAGAGGAACAGCACATTCTGCACAGCAGCCTGGGACACACCCCCTTAGAGCACTGGCGTCTGTAGACTCCCTGCCATCTCCAACATTAATAACACAGGCGTAGGGACTTTTGTATCTTCCAAGCTATTTCAAAGTACTGGTGACACAGAACAGCACATGGCATCCTATTCTCCTTCTGGGTTTGAATACACAAACACCTAGGGTAAAAACTACAACAAAACGAATAGAGGGGTAGGAAGACATTCATTCATTCATTCCTTCAACATCATATTACATGTCTACCTTGTTCCGGGTACTGTTTCCGGACACTGGCAGTATATGGTGAATAAGACAAAGTCCCTGCTTTCATGGAGTCCACATTTTTTAACTTTATTATTATTTTTTTTTTTTTGAGGAAGATTAGCCCTGAGCTAACTACTGCCAATCCTCCTCTTTTTGCTGAGGAAGACTGGCCCTGAGCTAACATCCGTGCCCATCTTCCTCTACTTTACACGTGGGATGCCTACCACAGCATGGCTTTTGCTAAGCGGTGCCATGTCCGCACCCAGGATCTGAACCGGCGGACCCCGGGCCGCCAAGAAGCGGAACGTGCGAACTTAACCGCTGCGCCACCGGGCCAGCCCCCTGGAATCCACATGTTGATGGGGAACAACATAATAAAATTTCCGGTAGTGATAAGTGATGTAAACAAAACAGAATAACAGGATGAAGAGGATGGAGAGTAACAGGGAGATGCTTTAAGACATCAGGAAGGTCCTCATGAAGAGGTGACATTTGGTCAAGACCTTGAATAATGAGGAGTAAGGCATGCACTATGGGGAAGGGCATACCAGTCAGAGGGAACAGCAAGTGCAAAGCATAGAGGTGAAATCTGAGTGTTTGGGAATAGCGAGAAGGACATCACAACCACACATATGTTCTAGATGTGTCCTGTCCTTCCCCCGCCTCAGCCGGTAGGGGAGCAAGTCACCAAGAGTCTAGAGTCCACATTTAGGAAGTTGATTTAACTTGATCTTCCCTTTTTTCCTCTTTGTTTCGTGTGTGTATGTGAGTTGTGTTTTCCTCAACTAAATTTTAAGCTCTGGGAGGGCAAGGATGATGCTCTGAGATTTTAGGGCTGTGGAACACAGTCTAGAGCAGGCAGGCAGAGAGGAAGTAAGGGAACTGAAGGGCTGGGGACCACAGAAACTAAAGCGCCCCCCCTCCCCAACAGCATAGGATTGAGGCTATCCTGGGGGCTGTGCTGCAGACAGAAGCTCAGACTTTACCATCCTTCCAAACAGAAGCAAGAAGTAAATTAGATTGAGGCATGTGTGTTTGTGTATGTGGTTTATGTTGGGGGTTTTAAGGAAAGGAGAATAGAGCAAAGGGTTGTAGTGGGAATTTCTGATGGGGAATGGTTGACATCACAACTGGAATTTCAGTTGGAATGAAAAATGGAGCTTTCTAAGGGGCTACATGGGAGCTCACAGACATGGGGCACCCCCTTCCCCAAGGAGAGTTTCAAGATCTGTAGGCAGGCAGGGAGAAACGTTGCAGGGTGGTTTGGAGGCAGGGGGCTGGCTGGGATGGGCTTAGAGAGTTGGGTGGGGGTGGGAAAAAGGATGCAGGATAAATGGGAGTGAAAACAGGGCAGCTGGAGAGATGCTTCAAAGGTAGCAGGAAAGGCAGAGTCCAGAAGGGAGTTCTGAGGACCCGGGTCCCAGGTACCCCCAATTCCTACAGGGAATTGAAGCATTTGGTGTCCTGGTTCTTCCACTTCCCCCAGTTGCCATCAGAAACTCAGGCATCAGCTCCCTCCAACCCCAGTGGCTGATGGTGGTGGTGGTGAGATTGAGCAGCCTCAGGGGGCGGCAGCTGGTGAGTGGGGAGGAATCTGTGTGC